TTTAGCCTTTGTACATGTCTAGGTGTGTGTGTGTGTGATGGAAAAAGAGATTGAGTCCTCTGCCCATACTGGTGGGGGAGAGCAGCAGGGATCTGAGGAGAAGCTGGAGCCTGTCCAGTTCTCCCTGCTAAGCCACGGCTGTATTGGCCACCTGGCGCCCCTGTTGCCAAAGGCGCCCTGTGCTCGCAACAGGGGCTAGGGGGCGCAGCCAGGCCGGCCACTGGCTGCACCCCCTCTCAGCCTCGCCTGAGGCGATTGCCTCACTCGCCCCATGGTAGCTACAGCCCTGACCCTGGGACATGGGACCGGCATCGCTAGTGTCGGCAGGTAGAGGGGAGAGAGAACAGTGAACGCCCGTAGGAAACCTGGAGTGATGACGGTTCCATTGCTTACGGTTTCTGAGCTGTCAGTCCTCGGCTAGAGAAGCCAGGGAAGAAGGTGATCAAGCAAGATCTGTCTTTGATCAGCTTCAGTGGGCTGCAAAGATGACATTAAGTGCAGGGCCGTCCCTTTAATGAAGCTAGCCTCAGGCGGCATCTCTTTGGGTCACATGAGGGGGCAGTAGGCAGACTTTTCATTTCGTCACATGGATGACAAATCCAAACAGGTGTTAAATCACTCTGCCTTTCATTCTTCAAACCCCACCCCCTCCCATGGCACCTCTGCCATGTAGCCCCTGGTACAGCTGATACCCATGTAAGAGGCCCCCCGGGCTCCCCAGAGCCCTCACATGGGTACCGGCCATACCCCCCTGATAGCGGTGTTCTATCAAAGTTATTGACTACATCAGAATGTGTGATTGGTGACGTGGTCACGCGTTTTAACGTAATCCCGCCCAGTTTTTTGGCGGTGGAATGTATGGCCGCCAATAGGTCAATCATTCCAACGCTTTCTCGGCTGTTCCAGGGCAGATCGGCATCGCAAATCGCATGTGCAGGAGAACTGGTCTGCCCTGGAACAGCTGATTGGTCCTGAAATGTCACTTCTCTCCGACTCGATCTGCCCTGGAACACGTCACCGGTCTCACATTCTAACATAGTCTCAAACTTTGATAGAACAATGGCACTGTTTGTAATCATTTAATCAGATAAATAGATTATAATAGGAACATTACAGTGTAATATTCCCCATTATAATCCACTTTCCTAATTAAATGAAAATAACAGCACACAACCCTCGCCCCCCAAGCCGCTCGGACTCACCCAGCCAGAGCATCACAGGATCGCAGCCAGAAGGTGTCGGTGTGTGCACTGCAGGGGGCGGGGTGTGGGACACGCACACTTCTCCTCTCCCGCCGCCTGTTACTAGGGACGCGGCCGGGAGGGGAGGTGAGTCACAGTACCCGCCCCCTTACTGAGAAGCCCGTCGGCAGTGCTGGGCGCCAGTGTTCTAACACCAGGACCCTGCACTGCCCCATATTCCACCGGGGGGGTGCCCAGGACTGGAGCCCATTGGGCCCCCCCAAAGCCTCAGGCCCTGGTGCGGGGGTGGTATTTCCGCCACTGTACCTGTGGGGCCTTATCAAACCGGAACACGGGCCGCAATTGGCCCGCGGGCCGGACTTTGGACATGACTGACATAGGGGGATTGTGAGCCCCCATATGTGATAGAAATGAAGTCGAGGAAGAAAAAAAAGTTTAAAAAAATAAAGTTAAATAAAATAATTCTAAAAACACCCCAAAAAATGTTTCAAGTCCCCGCGTACATGTACAAACATGCGTCGGGTCCTCAAGCACACACAACTTTTAAGCTTGGCATGTTGGGTATCTATTTACTTGGCACAACTCCATCTATCATGCGCCACCATTTTATTGTACAGGGTCTCTGCTATAAGGAAATATATAATTCGGGGGGACTGAGTAATTCTCAGGGCTAAAATGTGAATCATAACATGTGTAGGATAAATGCAAATGTAGCCCCCCTTCACCTTCTGTAATGTGGCTACTTGACATTTAGTGGTAGCCGGGGCTGTAGTCAGCCTGGCTGGATTTATAGTGGCAATTATATGGTTAATTCCAGGTGTCTGGCATTGCCTGTACCCCCCCCTGGGCGGAGTGTGACTCTGTCATATT